TGGGCTATCACGGAGGGGTCGGAGGTGCGTCGGCAGGACGCGGCGGCCGTGCTCACCGGCGTCACGCGCTCCACCGTCGGCTACTACGTCGCCAGGGACTTCATATACGACCGCATTGAGGATGTATATAACGCGTACGTATATACAAGCATATCTACTATTTCAGACTGGAAACTATCTCTCGGTAAATTTCCATACAAATTCTTACAGTTTGGAAGTTACCTGACTAAACATCCAATGGTCCAATTCATCAATATGTTCAGATAATTACTTTTTTGTGGATGTGCGTATTTTGGAGATAATGAAATAATAATCGCGTAATATCAAAAACTCAGTTTTAAAATCTTTCATGAAAACTGTAAAATATTATATAATCGGATTGCAAAGATTTACAGAGATTAAATAATTGACTTTACGTGCGCATAACGAAGCATCATTCGACTATTGACAGTCGTCTGTCATTCGGTCGCCGCCATGACATCTATCCCATTTTGGGTTGCCCGCTCAAAAATTACAATGCCAATGTTGCCAGCACACAAAATTATTAATAGTAAAAGGCTTATTGTTTTTTCTTTGTTGGTGTTTAGGTTCTCCCAAGGACGGCGTATCGGCTACATCATCAAGACCTTGCTTGACCAGTTCACCACACAGAAGGAACTCGACCAGGTAAGTTACTTATATTTCTCGTACTTTACTTATCAAAAATAATTTACTATTTACACGTTATTTTGTGTACGGAAGGCTTAATCATTGTATTTCGTTTTTATTGCCATATATCACTTTTATCAAGAGAAGCGACAACTGTGGTAGTTTTTATTAATGTAATCAAAAGAGGTTCTTAATTAGATCGGTGTTTTTTTTAATATATGAACATCGATAACTCTGAGATTTATGATCCGATTTACGCAATCCTTTTTTATTTGATGTGGAATAGCTGCCATTTGGTCACGCTTTTTTCAAAAACAAAAACTATCTAGTAGTTTTTGACTTTTATCTGAAAAGCTTTCCAAAAATCTGAAATTTGTGTTAAATTTAAGTCTTTTTGTTAATTTGAATGTTTGTTTAGTTCTTAGAGTGGAAGCAGAAGAACGAGAAGTATCTAGAAGATGCCCGGCTGGCGGTGGAGCAGGGCGTGGAGCGCGCGCGCGTCAACATCGACTGGCTGGCGCGACATCGCCGCCACGTCGTCGACCGCCTGCGGGACTTCTCCTCGTAAGACTGACACGCGACACTGTCATAAGTCACATCTGACACACGGCACACTTCACATCTGACACCTTACACCCACACCACACATGCACGATGATATCTGTCACTGTTACACATCATCTGACATCCGTCTCTCACGACACCCGTCATTGACACACGTTGCATCTGGCAATCGTCAATGTTACATCTGACGATTATTTGCCACACCCCGCATCTGACATCTGTAACCTGTTCATACTAGTGTTGTGACTCTGACGATCGTTTTAGTTTTGGTAGTTTTTCATTGACATTATTGAAGTTGTATTTATGGTCGAATTCGATTGAAATGAGAAATATTTGCATATCTGGCTGAGGATGTTTGTCTGTGACAGTCTTGTAAAGGTACTTTATTCTCTCACTACTTATTCCTCATTTAAACTGAATTCGACTTATGGTTTTTTTTTTTACTTTAATAGAAGTGAACATGTATTGAGTACAAATTAAAAAGTTGTATGAAATGTGTTTGGAAAGAAATTTTTATGAAATTTTAATAACTATGTGTTATAGCGCGTCTGACATAATTTGATACTTACATTTTTTCACTTTTCTAATTAAAAAAATGTTTTATTACTTTAATATTTTGTTTTACTCTTTTTTTTTTCTAATATAGGATTTTGTTTCTCTTTTTACTAAAAAAATCTTTCCAAACTCTTTTATTATAATAAATAAATACAGAATGTAATCCCAATTGTAATAGTACACATATTTAGTTGTAATTAGTTTTTATGCAAGCTTATTGTAATTGTAAACACTGAAAGAGGTAATTTTGCTTAAATTATACATAACTTAGTAACTTGATTGAATAAATATATTTCACAAAGCTTTTCTAATATTTACAATATTGAATAATTGTATTATTTTGTAGACTTCAAACCTATTTTATTTAGAAGTAGAATACAACTAAGCACAATAATATTATATACATAAAACTTTTAAAATACGTAGATAAAGGTTGTGTTTGATTATATTTTAGTTAATTCACAGTACATATTGAAATTATTTAATATGTTTTAATTTTACTGTGGGCTTCTACTGCACAAAGACTTCAAAACTTTAGTTTTCTCTACAAAAGGAAAGTAATTTTGTGTTTTGACAGTAAAAACCTACGGTTTAAATAGTAGTGTAATTACAAGTCTTAAGGTGATGGCTTAAATATTACACCTTGGTAGTTACATAATAAAACATGGATTTAAACTACTTATTAACTTATACGACTTAGCATTAATTACACAACTTACACATCTGGTCAGTGTCATTTACACATGTCGGTTTAAATTACATGACTTGTTAGTGTAATTTCCACATCTTGTTAGTGTAATTGACTCATGTCGGTGTAATTTACACGACTTGTTAGTGTAATTTACACATGTCGGTGTAGTGCACACATCTGGTCAGTGTAATTAACGCACCATTTCCGCTAGCTACCGGCGGGCTGCAGACCAGCGCGAGGAGCAGTCCATCATGCTATCTATATACGCTATCCATAACTTGACGAGCAGTCGCTCGCCCAACTATGTATACGAATTAGGGAAAAGATGATAATAATATTGTTTTACTTGAACATTTTATTTATTTATGACATTTAATTAAAAATAATAGTATTTTGTGTTTTAGTTAAGATTTTTTATATATTTTTTTCTCATAAATGATCAAAATCATCAGTTTTGTTAAAGAATTTAAATTTTATTGTTTCGTTTCTATTGTGCCTATGTTTGTGTTGTTTTTGTTATTCGGTTCGCTTTCTTTTTAAGATTTAATTGCGATTTCATACTGCTTGTTTCTCCTTAATTATTCTATTATTTTTTGCTTTTATTCATCTTTATTAAAATTAAATATTTATGAACAACCAAGTGATAAGATTTCGTAATGTTAGATTTTTTTGATTTTAATTTAAACGATTTTTTTTTATCCTAATTATGATTAGTATTTTGATTTTTTTGTTTTGTGTTAACGTTAACTGTATTGAATTATGTCTTGATTGTTTTTTAATGTTTTTCATGTTTTATTTTTATTTATTTTGTACTTAGTTTTCCGTCCACTTAATGCTTAGCACTTGTTAACTTCACAATAAATAATTGAAATTTATTTTGTGTTTTTTTTTTATTTACTTTAAAACAAAATTAATAATACTTTAGGTTATTACAAAGAAATTCAAAAAATATATCGAGTCGGCGTAGTTGGCACTTTACTTGAGACATTTTTCGCATTACTTCACTAACAAAATATAAAATAAGCGCCATCTACAGGTGGATAGAATGAATGATTTTTCGAAATAGTCTTTTCCACAAGAACATAGCACAACATGTCCGTATGTAGGTCTGAGTCGTAAGAAATTTTTAATTTATTTCTTCAGACATGGGTGCAGTTGTTTATTACAAAGTTTCCTCGCGTTGCATTCGGACATCACTTTTCAGTGCCACTTGATTAACTGTCGGAAATTTAGAGAATTAAAACTTGCTTGAATATTTTTTTAATTTACTCTAAATTGAAAATAATGCATTTAAATAATTTAATAGTGCATTTGTTGCAATCGCCCAATGATTTTTTCTTAAAATCGATTTTATTTTTAAAATTATAAATATGAATCATACATAAATGCGAAAATTTAGATGGATGGATGGATGGTACTTTGTGGTCTAAACGGCTGAACGGATTTCGATGAAATTTGGTATAGATGTAGAGGATAGTAATTTTTTAATTCCACGCGGACGGAGTCGCGGGCGAAACCTAGTATTATATTTTGCAGAACTTGACTAAAACTATTCAACACCAGAGGGAGCTTTTTACAATATTTCGAATGCTCTAGAATATATTTTTAAATGTTAAATTTTTAATTGCATTGTCATAGATTAAAAATATTGCTCAATTTGCTTTTTTCTTTCAGTGATTCTCCAGAGTTTCCATATTATTCTAGTCGTCTGAACAGCAAAGGTATTATCTCTACAAGCGACACTCAAATAATGTTTGCTATATGTTTATTTTCTCGTTTATTTATTACTTGAACTTTTTACATTTACATTAAAATCTTTGTTATGTATAAGGAAATAATTGATAACGTTTTTCGACTGTTTTAAATATGTTTAAATAACATTTTTATTTTTAGAATAATTTATATTGAATATTTGTTAACATTTTTAGTTATTTAAAACTATTCATCATTTTAATTGATTTGGTCTTTTTCCAAGCTCTAAAAGTTGTGCCTTACATTATATTCATAAAAGACGCAACTATTGTTTTCAAATGTAAGGACGTGCGCACACTTTGACTAAACTATCGCACAACCGTTGTCTCGCTTTGATTTCTTAAGCTTATATGGAGCGCACACTATTCGATTTTTAGTTGTCCAACTAAATTTAAATCGGCTACGATACAATCGACATTCTCACAACTGCTATGCGGTTGTTTAGTCAAAATTGTGCTCTAATATGAAAGTAAATAAATCAATTTTTAACTTGTATTCCATTTATAAATGTCAATAAATTAAAAATATACTTTCCTAATCTTGTTTTATTACTAAATAAAGGTAAATGACACAAAGTTTGTATGTTTTAAATATTTTATTATATAATAAAAACATATAATTCACTTATGATCTAAATACTAATAATACTATAGACAAATGCTCTAGTTATTGTCTTTGACGGAACATAACGACTCGATGGCACCGACGGTAACTTTTAAAAAATACAATTCTCTATGAATTTCGTAGATTAAAAAACATTTCCTTTAAAATACGGTTTTGTTAAAATTTTGTATATTTTCATGTCCTATTTTACTATACAAATAACTTTAAATATAAACTATATTAAAATATTTTATACCCTATTTTAAATTGAGTTCAGATCAGTTGGCTAACTCCGTACTTAGAGTAGTCCCTTAGTGTAGTCTTACTAAATCTTTACTAAAGTCTCTATGACAATTAAAGTTCAATAGTAAACAATTAACTGTATGAATTTATTTTATTTCATGTGACACGACCATACGGCCACTTAAATTCGCCGAAATAGCGAAGCGACTGCTGCCTAGATAGGCGCAAATGTAAATGCGTCGCATATTCTTAAGTCTAAGAAGGGGACGCACAGAGGACATTTCCCCTTCCTATCCTTTCCTCGATCCGGTTGGAAAGGAAAGGAGACTAAATTAGGCCTCCGACACGCTTAATTATATATTAAAAGATATGTGTAAATTGCAATAAACAACTTGCATATAATTGAATGCTTAAAGCACATAACATATATATGCATTATTAATCGTTTTTTTCATATAATTTTTGAGTAAATTTGAATTAATATCAAAATCATTAATAACTTCGATTCTAAGCGAGAAACACCATATCTAAAAAAATGCTTCAATATTATTATTACTAAAACTAAATATAGTTTTATCATATCCTTGATATGTTTTAAAGATATATTTTACATTTTTGTGCGATAACTAAAAAAATATCACTTTTACAACCACATTTCGCATAATTTCAAAATATCATACAAAATAATCTTAAAAATTCACTACACATTTTTTTTAATAAGTCTTACAACTGACCAACTACAAAGTTTCTATCAAATGTGTTTATTTAAATATATTTTATATACTAAAAAAAATCGTTTTAATTACATAATATAGCATATTCCATTTTGTGAAGTTTTATTATAGGAAATCAAAAAAATTAATTTATAACTAGCAATTTTGCTATAAGGCATAATTGGACGAAAAGATAAATACGGTCAGTGTGTAAACGTTTTAATTGTACAGTTAAACTGACAGTTTCATATCGAACTGTACAGTTTCTACTAGCAGTTACTATTAAAACTGTACAACTCAGCTGACAGTTACTATATAAACTGTACAGTTATCATGACATTTAAAACTTTGTCTAAACATGAACTGAGAATTTATAGTCTACATTATCATGGTGACTAAATTAATCCTAATTTCGAAGTGAAATGTTGTCTATTAGGATTTTTTCAGACATATTTTATATAAAACGAATAAAATACCTTAAACTTTGCCTGTACATGTATTTTCACCACGAGATTTCTCGTCTTGCATTTTACGATGTTTGTTGAATTTAGAAATGTTATATTTACATTATGAAATTGAATAGTTTCAACTTAATTGCAGTTAAAATTGCCAACTCATATTGTTTCAACTAGCTTTCGCCCGCGACTCCGTGCGTGTGGAATTTTAAAAAAAGTGAGTATGTGTTTTTCCAGACTATCCTCTACGTCTAGGCCAAATTTCATCAAGATCCGTTTAGCAGTTTAGGCTACAAACTCTAACAAACATCCATCCATCTAAACTTTAGCAACTAGTATTATAAGTGCGAAATTTTAGATGGATGTTTGTTAGAGTTTGTAGCCTAAACTGATGAACGGATCTTAATGAAATTTAGCCTAGACGTAGAGGATAGTCTGGAAAAACACATAGAGTGTTTACTTTTGTTTTTCAAATTTCGGGGACGGCGTCGCGGGCGAAAGATAGTTTATAAAATTAGTAATTCATGGTTCCTGTTCGTTAGGTACAAAGTTAGGTCTATTCCCTCCCCTACGTTTGCGCAGAGTTCCGAGGATCGCGAGCATCTCCTTCACAGCCTCGGGCTGGTCATCCTTAGGTTTCTTCTCCAGGAAGTTCTGGTCTGTTGACTTCAGTTGGAACTTACCGCATTTTATCTGATCCACGATCGCGTCGATCGCACCACCTACATATTATTTTACAATATTTAATCTATTTTCATATTTATTTTTAACTGCCTCCAATGAAAAAAACACATTTAACCTGTTTCATGTAACACACAAAAACTTTATCGAAAATTTCGCTGAAAACCTTATTATTGTAATTAATTTTAATAATGGATTTTAAAATGTTACGTGCGATAAAAACCGTGTACAACATATATGTGATTTTACAATCTATTTTGAAGATTACAAGAATTTACATGACTATTCATGAAACCAACGGATTGATGGATTTTTGACCTTCCGGCTTAATATTAAATTCCCTTATAGGCAACGGATAAAATGACAATGGTTGAAGGGGAACACTATGGACTAAAAGATTATGTATGGCAAACACCAGGGGATGTGCTTTGTCAATGACAAGCACCAGGAGACATGCTTTTGTCAATGACAAGCACTAGGGGATATTAGTTGTCTATGATAAACTTTAGGAGATATGCCATGTGTTTGGTAAATACCAGGGGTTAACTTGTATGTGGCAAATACCAGAAGATGTACCATTTGTATGGAAAACACCAGGAGATATACCTTGAATATGGCAACCATCAGGGGATATACCTTGAATATGGCAACCGTCAGGGGATAGACCTTGAATATGGCAAACATCAGGGGATATACCTTAAATATGGCAAACACCAAGGGATATACCTTTTATGGCAAACACCAAGGGATATACCTTTTATGGCAAACACTAGGAGATATACGCTACTTATGGCAAACACCAGGGGATGGCTTGTCTATGGCAAACACCAGGAATGCGTTGTCTATGTCGTGTTACCGAAGGTCCGTATGAGGCAGCGCTTGTGTTGGTGCAGCGCGCACTGCGCCGCGCAGCGCCCCACGCTCCAGCGACATGAGCATCGCTCTAACAATTTATACTCCATACATACATTTTTTATTTATTTCGTCCGGGATTTAAAAAAAAACTAGTAGTCTAAGTCACTTAGTGATAAAGTAGTTTTTAATGGTGGTTAAATTTGATATCGGTTGCGTAGTTTTTGAATTTATTGTTACATATGATGCTTTTTTATAGTTTCTTTTTAATCCTTTCACAATTCAGAAATTTACTGTCAGCGTATTTTGTTATAACTTAAGAAAAAAATGTTAGTTACAGCACTTTTAAACGGTTAATAAATCTTTAATAATTTTCTGAATATTATTTCATTCGTAAGTATCCTTTTATAATTCTGTAAATTGCAATTTTAAATACTTACCTCCATTTTGTTTGGTCTTCTTCAAGGTCCCTTGTTTACAGTTGAGCAGTGTTGCCATGTCCTCACTCTGCTCCGGGGGGAGGAACGCCGGGGGTGGAGGAGGTGGAGGGGGCGGGGGAGGTGGAGGTGGAGGCAGACATGGAGGGGGAGGAGGAGGGGCGGTGGTCACTTCGGGCGATGGTTCCCGTGAGCTTGTGCTCTCTGCGGGTTCAGGTGGTGTTTCTGAAACTACACAATTTATATTACTAGCTTTTGCCCGCGACTCCGTCCGCATAGAAATTAAAAAAAAAAACAAAAGTATGTAGGCTATGTGTTTGGACCAAATTTAACCGAGATCCGTTCAGTCATTTAGGCTACAAAATCCATATCTACATACAATATTAGTACGATTTTATCCAGCTTTTTTTGACTGCGAGGATTAAAAAATCTAGTAATAAAGATATCCTATGTCAGTCAGGAATTATGTAGTTTTCGAACAGTGACAGAATTTTTAAAATCAGTTTAATAGTTTTTGAGTTTATCAGTTACATATAAAATTAATTATTTTTTTTACAGATAAAATGACCGATTTTTGTTTAAAAAAATAATAATTAAAGGTGAGGCATACATTTTTTTAATATTACTGTATAAAATATTAATTTAAGATACTACATAAACTCACCTATAACTTCATTTACTTCTTCTTTGATTTCTTTTATTTCTTCTTTCAGTTCAACTTTCTCAATCTTTGCTTTTTCATTTCCACCACTTTCGAAGTAACTTATCCTAGACATGAGAGCTGATTTCTTCGGTGGTTGTTTCTTCTCAACTTCTGCCAACTTCTTCTCCGCCCTCTCCGCTCGTTCTACTGCCTTCTGCGCGTCTTCTTCTGCGAGTCTTATCTTCTCCTCCCATAGAAGAATGTCGGTTTCTTCGTGTTTTTCAGCTAATTTGAGCTGAAAATAAGTAATTGAATTTTTGAAATTACATAAAAGTGATCATCTTATTAATGTTTGATGCGAAAGTTTGGATGTATGGATGTTTGTATGTATCTCCAAATTAATGGATCTAGATTAAATTTGGCACAGATATAAAATATAGTTTGGAAGAACTAATAGTGTATTTATTTTTATTAAGCTGATAAAGATGAGTTAATTTTAAAATTTACAATATTACAGAATAAAATAAATGAAATTTAAATTTATTTGTTAGTTAAGTTACTTAAGAGTATCGTGATTTTGTATATGTCAGTACGTTTTTTTTTAATAAAAAAGTAAAATAAAAATAAAGCAATGTTTAATCCTTATGAACACTACAATCCAATAGTTTTTTTTTTAAACATAGGTGGCAAAGGAGCAAGTGGCTACCTGAATCCGCCAAAATAGCGAAGCGACCGCTGCCCATAGACATCCGCAATTGCTGATGCGTTGCCTAGTCTTATAGGAGGGAGGAGACGCATAAAGAGGATATTTACCCTTCTATACATCACATTCAAATCCACTTCCTCTTCCCATCCTCTTATAAGAAAAGGGTGGTAAAGGGAAAACGACTTAAATTAGGCCTTCTAGTGCTATATACTAGTCGTGTGTGTGTGTACCTGCAGGTCGTGCAGCTGGTCGCGGTGGCGCAGCGCCTGCAGGTCCAGCGCGTCGCGCAGACTGTCCAGCTCGGCCAGCAGGCGGCCCAGGCGCTCGTCCATCTCCAGCTCGCCCAGCAGCAGCGCGCTCTGGTGCGTCAGCGCCTTCACTCGCTTCTTGGCGTCGCGCGCCTCGCTCTTGTACCTGACACGTTTTAGAAACATTCAAAGGCAAGATTGGTGTGGTAGTGCCCGCTTTAACATCTTTGCACGAATGGGTCGCCTCGCCCCCAGTAATACCACGACCACATAGAAGACAGGCGTGAAGTGAAAGCAATTCGTCTGATGAGTGTGGTGCCGGAGGCCATATTTTAGTCCCTTTCTCTTTCCACCCTTTTCTTAAGAGAAAAGGATGGAAAGAAAAAGTAGATTTGATGTTGGAGGAGATGCATAGGAAGGGGAAATGTCCTCTTTATGTGCGTCTCCTCCTTCGTCAATGAAGGGTAGGCAACGCATCTGCAATTGCGTAACTCAGTAATTTTGTAACTTCTGCTACGATGCAAATGGAAATCGAAATTCAAATACATTGTAAGAGGCCTAGTTTTAGTCCCTTTCTCTTCCCATCCTTCTCTTTAGGAAAACTGGGAAAGTAGAATGGATTTGCACATGGAGATGCATAGAAAGGGGAAATATGCTCTTTATGTGCGTCTTCTACTCCGTCAATTAAGGGTAGGAAACTTATCTGCAATTGTGGATGTCTATGGACAGCTGTCGCTTCGATTTTTTGGCGAATTCAGGTGACCCGCTCGTTTGCCACCTTATCATATAAAAAAACCGGTAACTCCAAGATCTCTAGTCCGTATTCTTAATCTCTGTAGAAGAAATATCTGTATCTCTGTTCAACTCACGTCTCCGCCATCTGCCTGTCCTTGTCTGCATTGTCTTTGAGCGCCGTCACCTCCTCCATCAACAGCTTGGACACTCTGTTGTGCCTCTCCAGCTGCCCGCGCAGCTCCTGCAGCTCCTTCTGCTGCACGCCGCTCCGCTCCTTCTCCGTCTCCAACTCCTGGAAACACGAGGAATACTTCATAGTATGTTGGTTTCGTTCGGAATTTCACGATGGACTTGATAAGCTAAGGCCAGTCGTGGCATCTTACTTCTTATTATCTAACTTCTATACTAATATTATAAAGAGGAAAGGTTTGTATTTTTGTATTTTCGTATGTATTGAAATAATTCAAAAACTACAGGAAAGATTTTAAAAAATTTGGCACCATTATAATGCTACGTTATCAGTGAGTAACATAAGGCATGTTTATTTATTGTTATTTAATTTCACGCGGGCGAAGTCGCGAGTAACAGTTAGTCTATACTAATATTATAAAGAGGATTTATATTTTTGTGCATTTAATTGAAGTAAAAAAACTACGGAGCTGATTTTAAAAATTCTTTCACTGTTAGAAAGGTAATTTATCAGTAAGTAACATAGACTATATTTTTCATTATTGCGAGCAAAGTCGCGAGCAACAGCTAGTATATTATAAGTGCAAAAATTTCGATGGATGGATGATCTCGATGAAAGTCATAGATGTAGAGAATAGTCTAGAAGCACATAGGTTGAAGAGTTGACCAGTGTAAGCTGAGCTGTGGTGACATACGTGTACTATGTAGGGGCAGCTCACCTGTGCGAGGGCGACATTGTGCTCGTGGGCCTCAAACTCGTGCAGTCGCGCTGCGCTGAGGTCCGCTTGTAGCGCCCCGACTTGCGCCGACAGCTCTGACACCGTACGCTTCAGGAACTCCACCTCCTCGTTACTGCTGCTATCTGATGCTGTATACAAGCTCTAATTATACTAATATTATAAACGCGAAAGTTTAGATGGATGGATGGAGTTTGTAGCTTAAACGGCTTAACGGATTTCGGTAAAATTTGATAGAGATGTAGAGGATAGCCTGGAATAACTCATAGGATACTCAGTTTTTTAAATGCCACGCGGACGGAGTCGCGGGCGAAAGCTAGTTGAAGTCATAACCCTTGAGGGTTTTTGCACCGAGGGAGTTAGTAAAAGTTCGTAGGTAATCGCACAACAGACAGTCACTTTGAACATTGTGTGGAGTGAAGCTGTTAAAAATCCAATAATCTATACTAATTATAAAGAGGAAAGATTTGTATTTTTGTATGTATTGAAATGACGCATTATACGCACACGAGATACACGGACGAAGAGAGTAACCCAATGGACTGGTCCGCGATCAGGAAAGAGCCCAAGAAAGACCCAAAGCCAGATAAACAGACGATATTAAAAAAATAACAGGAAAACCTGGACGGAATTGGCAAAAGATAGGGCCAAATGGAGAAAAATGGAGGAGGCCTATACCATCATGGCTGTTTTTGTAGTTCATACTTAAATTATTGTTATATTCCATATGTATTTGTCATGACAATAAAAACGTATATAAATAAAAAAAAATGTTAAAATAACACAAAAACTACTGGACTGATGACAAAAATACTTTCACCACTTAAAAGCTACGTTATCAGAGAGTAACATAGGTATTTTTAATTTCACGCTGACGAAGTCGCGAGCAACAGCTAGTGAATAAATAGCTAAGTCAACGTTTTTACTATTTTTGATTTAATTATTGTAGTGTTCACCTGCATCCGTGGCATCAGTAAGATCGATGTCGACGGGAGTAGGCAGAGCGTGGATAAGTGCTGCACTTCGTCTTTTCAATTGTTTATTCTGCTTATACCATTCTCCCGCTTGCTGCATAACCCTAAAACACACGAGTGTAATTAAAAAAAAAACTTTAAAAACACATGTCAGGTACAGTCGTGGAAATCCGCGGTGTTAGAACGGAAAAATTGACTTGTTTCTAACTAGATTGAATCCGCCTCATATAAATCTATACTAATATTATAAAGAGGAAAGATTCGTATTTTTGGATTTTTGTATGAGTCGATTCACGTAAAAACTACTTGGCCGATTTCAAAAATTCTTTCACCGTTAGAAAGGTAATTTATCTGTGAGTGACATAGGCTATATTTTACATTTTACGCGAGCAACAGCTAGCAGCTAATAAGGTACCAGTTAGTTACGACGGGATAATAATAAAAAAGAAATTAGCCGTGTACCTCTAACGACTTTTTGTACTGCGTTCTATTGGTTTTTTTCCCCCCTTTATTTACTAAACTTTCAATCGATTTACCTTCGAGGTAAAACACCAGAAAATTCCTCGACTGTACCCATTAACTTTAACTTATACAACATGTTAAAACTTAGAAAAGCCATTTTAACTTGTGAATTAAAAAAAAATGTTACGTTTTCTTTCAAGCAATTAAAAAACTTTTTCCTTTCAATGAACAATTGAAAATTAACTAACGAATTTCCCTCACTAAGCAAACGTGATCCGAAAGTTGGGAAATAAACTCGATTCACGTGGAAAAGTTTTCGTTGAGAACAATAAAAATTAAAACCAATCAGGTTGAATCGAAAGTCGATAAGCATACTTTTTTGTGGATTGCTACTCTAAAGTCTTTTACAAAATATAGCAAATTGAAAAATCTAAAAATAACTTGCTATAATTTTGATAAGTTGTTAACAAAAGATCTTATTACCATAAAAAAATATGAATTTGTTATAAAAAAAATCATTTCAAAAATACTCACATGGTTAAAAGTAAATTTTTAAATCGTATTTCAAACAATAATAAGATACACTGGCAGCAAGTTTTCGATTCTATTGCCATGACGACACAGTAAAAAAAAACAAATATTTTTTTTAATGGCACTTTTATTTAGGACAATGATTGTTCAATCTTAAATCCACTTTTAAAAATAAATTAACATAATATTTTTTTACATTTGGTTTCAACACAATAATTAATTTTATTAAATAAAATAAAATTTATTAGAAATACACAACGTAACTGTGCGTTACTACGACAGAACGGTATTCAACTCTGGCCGTTTCGCGTAAAATTCTCGCCAAATCAATAATGTAACAAGTAATTTGGCGCAGTGGCTTCATTTTAATATTCACCACTTTCTAGCTTTTATCATCGCATGAATTATTTATAAAATTTGTGTTTAGATAAGATGACGTGCATTTTATAAGAATATTGTTTTGTTTTTTTTCTTTTAGAATTATCCGACGATAGGCATATTGATTGTAATTCCATCTAAATTACTTTAAAGAAAATATGCACTAGAACTACGTTTAGAAATACTGGCTGAATACTAACAAAACATTTGCCTTTTAAAACGATCCACATCTTTCCATAGACATTTTTTGTTTTCTATTCCAATTAACAAAAAGCTAAGACAGCATATTATTCCAAATGCAACGATTCCATACTTATTCAGTGCATAGAATATAAAACAAATTACGTAAAAGTATTTAGGGTTATATTTACATTTTAGAAGATCACTAATTGAATAATGAGTCATCATTTTTGTTATTTTTTAGTATAAATGTATGTCAATGTAATAAAATTTTGTAGCTCAATAACACCGTTTGACTATAAGTGAAATTAGAAGGCGTGGCGTCAAATTTCTCCGGATACATTAAGAAAGTCATAAATCTAGGCAAGCCTAAATTATCTATGTAGACAAAGCTAGTCAACCTATCGTGTATTTAACATCGGAATTAAGTTGAATTTCGTTTTCGATTACCTAACATAAGCTTACTGTGATGCAACATCGACCGGTTTCCGTCCTGAGGTGACATAACATTTTATTTTGTCTGTCCGTCCCACTTTGGACATTTATTATTATCAATTAATTTCAAAAATATGTTTGTCAATTTTATATGAAACTACAGTCCATAGTTAGAGTATTAACACGAAAATTTGCAAGAAGGTTTCCGAAACATCGCAAAAGTTGAGATTTGTAGGTATTCTTTACGCCTTATGTCTACTAAACTAAAAACCGCTGTAGAGGCTCAGTTATAACTGAATATTTGAACTGTTCAGTTAAAAATGAGCATCTGTATCTTGAATAATACTTTTGTCGGTGATTGTTAACTAGCTAATGTTCGTGCTAGACCCTCTGAAATACGTGAAATTTATATTTAAAAATAGCAATAACGGTTGCAACGTATTTATTTCAAATCATTGTGCGGTTGTCTCATGACAGATGAGGTCGAAGTGTGGCCAGTAAATAGTTCCGGTTACGGCTTCCATGTACAAACATACATGCAGACTGTAAAACCTAATATCTAATATAATATAATATAAAATCAGTCTACTATTTTTCATGATTGTGATGTTTTTATCACATTTGTAATGGTCTTTTAAAGTCGCTAACGTTCAATTATAAATGAAGAGTCGATCTGTTAGAACTTAACACAGCAAGCTTAACTATGGAGTATTTCGATAAAACCAACTTCGGATTACTAAGTAACGTACGGTACGTTTCATAATACTATTCAAAATTTATGACAGCTTGCACACAAGCATTCGCTGTGCATAAAACAGACCAAAGCATGTCTTCCTCGGATTATCCCACCCGTTACCCCGCTCTGTCCTCACGTGAGAATAAAAAGTTTCATCCGTCCCACCTTTTAAAAGGTTAGCATGGTATGGGCATGTTGAGGAGGGATGAATCGCATGTTACAAGGAGAACGTTAGTTATAAGTATGGAAGGGTACATCGGTAGAGGTAGACATAGAAAGAGATGGATGGATTGTGTAAAAAGTGACATGATGAAAAAGGGAGTGATGACTGAGATGACGTATGATAGAGTTATGTGGTGGACAAAAACCTGTTGCACCGACCCTACGGGAGTAGGATAAGGAGATGATGATGATGATCGGTCCCACCTTTTAGTCCCACTATCACCAATAAGGTGACAGATGGAACCGTTATAAAATAAAATAAGTTCCAACCGTCACCTCGTCGCAAAAGGTGAGACGTATAAAACTTTTTATTCTCATCTGTCTACACGTGGGGACAGATTGGGGGGACAGTTGGGAATAATCCGTATTTCTCTTGCTGTTCTTCAATAAGCATCAGTTTGATCCTTAAACCTATATACTCACTTCTGCATAACACCAGCATCAATCTCTTGTTGGTGTTTGAGCTGTTGGTACTCCTGGAATAGCTTCTCGGAGACGGTACGTAGCTTCGCCAGCTCTCGTTCCCGCTCCGCCAGCTCAGCTTCCACGTGTCTCCGCTCCTCCAGCAAGATGTTGTACCGCCGCTGCAGCTCATCATGTTCACGTTTAGCTGTGGAATAACAAGTCCTTATATTCCTGTCCTTTTCTGTCTAATGATACAGTACTATATGTGTTTCTCTTTCATATACTCATCAGTCAGTCGTGACGTCATCGACTTTGTAGGAAACTTGGTGTACTTTACATCGCGATTTCGTCCATGTCAAATTTAAAGCTATAGCCTATATAACTCAGCAATGACATAGCTTTTGTAATGGTGAAAGAAAATTTGAAATCGGCCCAGTAGTATTTAAGTTATTTCTATATATACAAAAATACATATTGTTCCACTTTATAATATTAGTATAAATAGGGCCGAATTTTGTCGGTGACGTTACTAATACTTTTACGAGTAGTTATTGATTAATGAAAATAATTTAATTTCGTCTTACGCAAAACACAAACAGTTGAATATTGGTTTTGAATCAATTTCCTTTACGCTTCTATTTATATATGACAAACGCAAACTATAGACAATAGTTTACTAACTAACCATAAACCATAGTCAAAACTTTTTACAATGTTATAAACATCCATTAACAATACACAAAGTATAACAATAGCGAAATTGTATTTTTTTATAAGTAAAAGTATTCGTTGCAAGTGTTTAAAATTGACAAAGCGGTCAAATAACTTGTTATAACAACTTGCGACAGACTTGTTTAATTACAAGATACAGAATTGTCTTCATTGAGAACAATCAGGACAATGATGTGTAAACGTCGGTTTACATTGAAGAATAAATAATATTGTTTATTTCGGCAGCGGAACCCACGGTTATTGCGCGGGAACGAGACGAATTTTATTATCTTTAAAAGTCGTACATCTATACTCACATTATAAAGAGGAAAGATTTGTATTTTTGTATGTATTAAAATAACTCTAAAACTACTGGGCCGATTTTAATAATTATATCACCATTAGAAAGGTAATTTATCTGTCAATAACATAGGCTATGCTTTTTTAATATTTTTTTAATTACACGGTGACGAAGTCGCGAGTAACAGCTTACAACATAACTAAAACCAAATTTATAAGAAATAATTTAATAGGTTACATTACATCACACTACAACAGAAAAAACCCGTGGTACGGACCTAGTTAATACAGAAAATCAAGTAAAACCGCAGCATGGAGCTTGTATATAAACAGATGTGACTGACAAAACACAAGCAAGATTTAACGCTTGTATGTAGAATATATCTTATCCTATTGCACGAACAGCTGTAGGGAGTACGTTACTAATGGCCGCCATTTGTACTCGGTTACTCACGTTATTTGGATGAGGAAAAAACTATTAGATTTAAAACATTTTTATATTTTATTTTACTTATGTTTTAGTTAAGATTTTTTGTCATTGGCAAATTAATAAACTGATGCAGATCATATGAAGTTTTTTTGTCTGTTTTATTTACATTTAACTAATTTTCCTAGAATTGGATATGTTCTATGTACTTGGCCGGACATCGTACACAAAATTTAATGAATCCTAACAACGTTAGCACATAAATTAGTTCTAATTAACAAACTTACGGAAACAGTGCGTTTTATTCAGTAAATATTCACCCAACTTATTACTTTAAAATTATCTTAGCACAAATAATAAAAGCGTTTGTGGAATTTTTCGAGAAATTGTCTCAAAGTTTACTTTTTCGAAAACTCCGTAAGAGATATTCCGAGTATCGACGGAAAAAACACGTACGAGTTCAGCAAATATGCGTAATCAGTAAAGAATTTCAACGAAATATATACAGGCCACGGTCACTTGTGACAGAATGCGTATGCCTTTTGTCTTTAAAAAAAATTCCCGCTTTTATCAACGAAGAGTCATTTTAAAACCAAGTGTTACGTGTGTTGCACTGAACTATTTAAATGGGCAGGCTATGAACTGTGGTAGTTTGTGTCTACTTGAATTTCGCCATTTTGGCGCTAATTGTTGCGGTTGGTTGAAATAAAGATTTTTCAAACTGATAATAGCGATAGTCTTAACTGTGATAACATCAAATATCGCGTTAAATCCGTAGCAAAATCTGTCAATTATAAACAATAAACAATCGCCTATCTGTTTTTACATATCTATTACGAAACGTCATTTTTTAAACAATACGTGTTAAATGGCGGGAATCATATGACGATGCAACAATTAGTAAATTAATATTATTTCGTAAATAAATCCTTAGTGATCCAAATGAGGGAGAATTAAATGTTGTAAGATTTATTTTTAGATCGCAACGAAAACATGTTTGCGGTAACAATACATGACGCTGGAATAAGTGACCTGTTCTGAAAATGTTAATTCATGCCATTTTTTTTTCTCGGTAAAATGACTTGCAAAGTAAGTCAGACTTTTTTCAAACTAAGATTTATTATAAAACAGGTAAATAATGCGATTATTTCTTGATATTTCAAAATTTATATTCATTCATATATATAAATATATATTTATTTTTATTCTCCTTGGTCATATGTAGGTCATTGAGTTTGTTAAGATAAACCACATTTTGTTAACCATTTGGCTATATAGACAGTTTAAAATATCAGACATGAAAAGAATGAATAATGTTCAAACAAAACAAAATGGTATTTGGCTCAGTTAGTGTTTCTTTATTATAAACTTTTATCAAAGTGAAAAACATACAATTTGTAATCTATATAATATCATAAAAGTATTTATTCAGCAGTCTTTATCTCCGATTTAAAACATTTTAGAAATCTTTCCAATATAAACATGAAAGTTTAGTCGGATATTGGTTAGACCACATCTCTACAATGATTCAACAGATCTTGATAAACATTTGTAACACATCTGTGAGTATAGTCTGGAAGAACATGGCTGGTTACTAAATTTTCTTTTTAATTCCACACATAGAATTTCTTGAGCAAAAGCTAGTCTACATTAATATTGTATGTAATAACACAAAAAGTACTTGGCCAATTACAAAAACTCTTTCACCATTAAAAAACTATAACATCAGTGGATAACACAGACTATGTTTTTATTATTTATTATTTTTTTAATATCACAGGGACTAAGTCATAAGCAACATTAAGTCTTATTTATAATACAATAAAACATATGATTTATGGTTTTACATAATTTCTTTAAAGTATAGAAAAACATGTATTAAACATATCTTTGAAACTACTTAACATATTGCTATTATGAAATGTAAAGAACAAAAGATAAGATGCAGCTGCATTTACATAGGTAATGTTATGTAAATAGTGCCATTGTTCCTACATTTTATTATGTTTTACAATAGATAGCTAATGGAATTTTAAATGGATAACAGTACTATCTTTTACATTTAACTATATACACTAGCTTTCACCTGCAGCTCCGTCTGCATGGAAATAAAACAAATCTATGCAGTCTATGTGTTCTTCCAGAGTATCCTCTTTGTCTATGCTAAATTTCATCGAGATCCATTCAGCAGTTTAGGCTACAAACTAACAAACATCCATCCAAACTTAACCATCTATAGTAATATTATAAAGAGGAACGATTTGTATTTTTGGATTTTTGTATGTATTGAATTAACTCAAAAAATACTTGACTGAATTGAAAAATTTTTGCACTATTAAAAAGCTATGTTATCACTGAGTAACATAGACTATGTTTTTAATTTTTTTTTTAATTTCACACGGGCAAAGTCACAACTGACTTGTTTATAATATTATCAAGATGTACAAATGTAGAATACTTTGTATTAACAAGTTAAAACAGAATATTGTAAGAATATATACATATATAAACTATAAACAAGAACAAATATTTATCCGTAGCACTAATTTGAGTTAGAAAATATTTGTGTATTTTCTATAGAAGGTGGTAACGAGTCAGTTCATCGGATAATACTTGAAATCAGTCCATGAGAAAACTTTATAAAATTAACTAAGTGATTACTAAACAGGGTGTGTAACAAATCTAGTGTGTATATTCTGGTCTTTGTAATATATACAGTTAAGTTTAATGTAATGAACAAAGAATTATGATTCATATATTTCACTTCTATGTGTGTCATTAAGTCTTTGACTAAACAAGAGTTCTAAAACTCAAGTATGTTGTTATTTGATAAACATTATTAAAAGTATTCTCTAGTATTAATGTTCAACGAAATTTATTTTATATCAAGACTCAATATTTATTAACTTTTCCCTTTAAATGCATTTAATTTCCTCAAATTATATTAATAATTGATGTAATAGTTAATAGTAATTTAATTTTTACGTAAATAATTGGATACCTAGTACAATTTGTACTTTAACTTTTGACAGTTCGTTATACGTAATCAATGAATTGGCGATGCGCAGAACTAACAATAATCAATATTTAAAAAATTGGGCCAACAAAAGTCATATTCATATCTTTAAAAACGAGTTTGTTAAGATGTTATCGCGTTTTTATGACGTTAAAAACCTATTACGATAATATTGTGCAGGAAATACGTGAATTAATAAGAAAATGCATCGAAAACAATCTATTTAAAATAGTACCAAAGTGTAACAAGGATAGAATCACTGCGCACAAAGTTTAAACCTCTCCTCAAAACGGGTTTACATTACAAAAGTTTCGTGAATACATAATGTATGAGCAACAGGTTATCGTCCGTCATAATCCGACAAATACGCGGCTAGGATTTTCTTTCGCACTTTTTGCATAAAACAGTTGTAAATAGAGCATGCGCAGTAACGACTTGCAAAAAAAGTGGGAAACTAGTACGTCAAAATGAATAGTACCGACCTTTTTCTGACTTGAGGAGGTACGTTTTGTGCTTCCTCTCGGCTTCTTCGTATCGGTTCTTCCATTTCTCGACGTAAGTAGAGAGCGCGATGCTGGTTTCTTTAGTGTGTGGCTGCGATTCTGGCAGCATCCTGGCAGGAGATGGTGTAGCTCGCGGAATCCTAGTTGCCCCGGGGCCGGCACACGGCGACACGGCAACCCCGCTGCGGCCGCTCCCGCTCTGACACTGGCCGTGGTTGTTGTTCGACGCGATCGCAAATACATTATCGCCGTTCCTTTTAATCATTTTTGCATTCGATATTTCACACGCGCGCATACATCTTCCCGTTTTCACATGCACGTGGGATCAACAGGCAGATGTCCCCGTTTATTGGAAATTAATTTAATTCACTAAATATGATTTCTTTGTTTCGTCGTTGAGGAAAATACGCGTAATTGTGTTAGAGCGGTCGTAGATTGTACACTCGCGTTCACTTGACACAGCCTCGATGGACTTTGTATATTGAAAAGTAAATCTGTAGTTGTAAACGCGTAAAAATGTTTTAATAGACGACAATTAGCCTTCAGTGCGCGGTTTCAACTAACGTATGCGTGCAGTTATGATAATGAATTCTTCGCCATTGTGAGTCATAAGAGTTAATGTTTACGCTTTTTGTTTATATTCGAAGCGCGCTGTCGCTTCTATCGTATAGATTATGTCATTGGTAATTCGTAGTAGCTAGTGATGTTCTCTTTTCATGCATGTTCTTTACTTATCAATGTGCTTACATTCTTATCATCAGACATTATTTTCCAGTAAGATTACGTCATCGACATCGCAAGAAATCACTGATTACACATTAGTAAACTTCGCTTATTATTATCTTTGATTTTAATTTTTGATTTTACAATCCTTAAGTTATCAATTCGTTTCAAATGTGTTTTTTTTTTAATTCGTCCATAGATGGTGTTTAATTAAGAAACCTTGCTTCAAATAAAAAGTGTTACTTTAAACAGATTATTAGATAATTAAAACTTCACTCGCACAAATATTTATCACGATTTAAATAAGAAATAAAGTAAAAGTCATTGAGCACTACACGACACATAACTGCAGTCGACAAACTAAACTAAATGCATTTCGTCCAAATAGGGACGAACGGATATTCTAAAATTAAACTGTTCTGTGAAACGAACAGAGACCGTTCTGTGAACGACAAGGAGTTGTCGGCGTATGGGCCGCGCTGGCCACGACCCGGCTTGTATTACAACATTCAAACTTTACGACGGCTCGATATTAGCATCAGACATATCTACGATCCCGCATATACCTAAAATCACAGGTAAACAAAGATACCCGGTACCATACAACGACATGGTGACCATAAGTCTTGTTAGACTGGCTATTATCTATCTTCACACGGCAACAGATATCGCTAATCACAATACTAAAAGAATCGATATCAAAGTATCGTGCCTATCAATTCCACAGATATATTAATTCTCAGGTATTCCAATGTTGCGCTATTTCAGTAATTTGTTTATTAAAAAAAGGGTAAGGTTTTTTTATTATTTGTTAACCTAGCGCTTGACCACGATCCCACCTGAAGGATGTGACGATGCAGAAAGTAAAAAGTAAAGTAAATGACATATTAGAAAGTCAATGAAAAGCGCTTTGCTGTGCATTTTTTTTTGAATTAATGAGCTTTAGAATATTTGCAGTTTGTTGTTCCAATCTAAATCTAACCTTTTACATGGTTAACAATATCTGAATCGTAAGCTGTGTGTGTAGTGCATCCTGTCGAGTTCTCATTCCGAGCTCCTGATAAGTTTGTATAGTACTATAATCCCATTTAATTGCATTACCAGACTCGCTACGATTTGCTGATTGGCCGTTATTACTCATCCTTATAAATGCATACATTCCATCTACTTAATATTATTGAATAATCGTCTATTTCTGTTAGAATTTATGTAATAACAACTTGTTTTAATAAAAAAAAACAACCTTACAGACGCTGAATGCAGCGCCGTTTAATAACTTTTGCAACCTTTAAAGCGTAGGTCTGTAGATTTCATAAACACATTTAGCTCTTTATCGTAAAATTATTCTCATAATCAATCGAATTTTACTTCATATTGTGGTCCAGATCTAGTGAAATCTGTCACGGTCGAAGTAATCCGAAAGCGAGGCTAAGGGTAAATATTAAAAAAGAACCTCGGTCCGCCGCGGACAGGCGGAGAGAACCTTACAAAACTTTTTCCATATTTAGAAAACGGGGTCAGTCCGGGGCTTTTTCAAAGGGCGCCACACGGCAGCCTGGCGAGGCAATCCGATTACCTTACAGAACTCGTACAATACATTCATTTAACAAGATTTTGTCACAAAACTATATAATTTAATGCATATTTCATTTCAATTATATGGAAAATTTTGCAAGAAATAATCGGATTACTTTCATGACGTACTTTAATGGAATTCACTCTGAAATGTTTGTAATGAAATATAGTTCTCTTTCAAGTGACAAGGGAATGTCGGTTTTGGTAGCAACCAAAAAAAATAACCCACGTTCTTCCTTATGCAGCTGAGTCACATGGTTTCTGTTATTATTTTTACGTGTGGACAATAAATATCAGGTCATTGACTTGCCGATCCTATTTCTGGTCTCGTTATCCTGGCCCGGGATATCGTAAAACGTTAACGTCGCTTTTACAAGCAGGATTAAAGCGTTAAAAATATTTATGCCCATTAAATTCGCCCAATTTGGATACTCCTTTGTGTTAAAAAGATTAAAGTGTTTATTGTGAGCGTGCAGATGCGTGTTAAACAATTAAAAACGGTTAACACAACATTTAATCAATTCGTCCAGTTAATTTTCGCAATTAAACACGTTGTACCAACTTATTTAGATAGCAACATTTCTTCTTATGAATAGTCGACAGTTAGCGGTGTGTGGGCGAAATCTAAGGTGGTCTAGAAGAATATTGCAAAACTTTCTACGCAGTAGTTCGTGGTATTTATTACGCACTAATTTCACACGCGACTTTATCACATAAAATTAAAAAACAGTTAGTAGTCTATGTGTTCTTCCACACTATGCTCTACGTCTATACAAAATTTCATCGAGATCCGTCCAATAGTTTAGGTTGTAAACTCTAACAAACATTCATCCGTCCATCGATCTAAACTTTTGCATTTATAATATAAGTAAGATCATTAAAATAAGAAAGCTTATATTATAAAAGGATTTGAAAACCACTCAGTGATTTTTTATCAAAAAGAAATAAAGTACCTTTAAAATACTAATTAAAACAATGCATAGGTAAGATGTTTATCTTTTCTTTTTTTATATTGAAAGGTTTTAAAAAAGTTCTTCGACAGTGGTTTGTTCAGTGACAGCCATTTGCAATTTATGATTGTGAATAAATAAATGTAACATTTTATATTCTGCTAGTGCTCTACCAAACGCGACGGTCGCCTAACTAAGTCACAATATTTAAATAGATGAAAGAACGCACGTGACATCTGCGAACAGCGTCTCTGGTGGCCTAACGCATTACACATTTTTCACAACATCCTCTATTCTTCATATAAACCTAAATTATTTAAACCTAACAGTTAATTTCACTAAATATTATGCATTTGTTTAATGTAAATTTGCATGTTGAAAACGAGTTGACATATTTTTTATTTTCATTTTATCGATGTTTTACAGTACATTATACTGTTTTAATCCGCCCATAAACCTATTCAAAGTAATTCATGAAGCCAGGTAATCAAATATGCTCGATCGGTTGTATAAAAAGTTTAAAAAGTAGTTACTTTGTAAATAGCAGTTTTAAATAACTGTTTTTAGTATGTATGTTTATTCTTTGCGTTAAGAAAAATAGCGTAATACATTTTACATTAAGCTATTTTTATTATCGAAAACATTCGATTTGTAGTTTGTATTTGTTTTGATAAGTTTAAGTACGTAAGCAAAATGACATTAAAAAATAAATAACTGTCCACTGCGTCACTATGACTAACGAGCGCGCAGCTGTTAGTGGCGCGACAAAATACTCCTCAATTAGTTAACGTATCCATTACTGTGTTTATATTGAACAAAAACTAAATAGGTTATCCTTAATACGTTTTTAATGTTCATAACGATAACAATATAATCAATATGGAAGTAATTAAAGCTGTTTTAAATTTATCATAAACAATGACTTTAAGGATCGCGTATTCACGCAGTAAAGCTGGTGTTTTGTGTTACACTGCCATCTGTTGATAAGAAATAAAACTACAATGTCTTACTTTTGTAGTACGGACTACTGAATAATAGATGGCGCTATTACAGTACATCCTACTGAATAATAGATGGCGCTGTTACACTACATCCTACTGAATAATAGATGGCGCTGTTGAGGTTTAATACAATACCGGATAATAGATGGCGCTGTTGTAGTACACACTATTCGATAACAGATGGCGCTATTGTAGTACGGTCTTCTGAATAATAGATGGCGTTGTTACAGTACATACTACTGTATAATAGATGGCGCTGTTGTAGTACACACTACTGGATAACAGATGGCGCTATTGTAGTACGCACTATTGCATAATAGTTAGCGCTTTTCACAATTTAAAAATTGCGCAGGTGATATTTAGCACGGCTATGTGCGTTGAAAATAAATAAATAATGCAATGTATGTGGATTTAGAAGAAATTGAATAATCGACTGTTTTTTCCCTTTGTTTGTTACAAAAGTAAGCATCTACTATGTATTATGGGAAACTTGTTTGCGCTCGCAACTCTTTCCGTGTGGATTTAAAAAAAAACAAAAGTAAGTGTCCTATGTGTTCTACCAGACTATGTTCTACATCTGTGCCAAATCGCATTGAGACCCGTTTAGCTGTTTAGGCGGTTAGAAACTCTAAAACATCCTTTCATCCGTCTATCTAAATTTTTGCATTTATACTATTAGTAGGATAAATATTGTTACTCGTCATGGGAACAAACGGAAAATGGATTATAATTGATAAATCCAGAAACTGAACACAGGGATGAATTAGTATTAAGTTTAATACACGGGGCTGCTCACCCCTCTCTCGACATGGCATTGTTAAGCGATGAAAGAAGGTTACCATAATTTATGGTTATAATACGTATTGCTAATAATCAAATTGTTCATTGGTAAATAATTGTTTGATAAAATGCTACTATTAGAGATCATAAAGAAATCGTTCGTTAAAATTTTCTGCAAACTTTAGTGTAATTTTTGACTCTGTCAACTAAACAAGCATAATTATCTTTCTTACTACCTTACCAATATTGTAAATGCGAAATTTAGATGGATAGATGTTTGTTAAACTTCGTAGGCTGAAATGATAAACAGATTTTGATGAAATTTGTCATAGATGTATGGGATAATCTGGAAGAACACATAGAATAGTTACTTTTGTTGTAAACCTAAAAAAACATCAATGATTTTAATCGAACGTTCGTAGTTTTATAAAACTGTTGGTAACCCTATTCAACCCTAAGAACCCCGTCGAAGGGGTACTTAAACAAATCCAGCTTTGATACACCGCGGAGAGTCCCGGGGGAGCGCCGCGACGATATAGTTGTTACCTAGGGGGCGGGAGACGAGTCTGCAATATTACCATTATGATAATAGATTTTATATTACGCGTAATATTTTCTAGTAATCAAATTAAATTAATATATCAATTAAGAGTGCTTGAATAAAGTCGATTTGTTACATGGCCATTTTAAATATTTTTCTTATGTTTCCCGTAGAGCGAATCTGCGTACCAATCGATCGACCTTAGGGTTTTTTTCCAATTGGACCTATCGAATCTTTAAAATCGAAGGGCGAAGCATTTTTTAATAACATTCCTCTGTGATTGTTTATACGAGTAATAGATAATGTCTGACCACTGACCATTTCCAATCAAAATATTTTTTGTTTCGTTACGAATTCTAAAATCAAATTAACTAGTTAATTTTTTTTAAAGACTTGGAATTCTTTTTTCAAAAGTAGTCATTTGTTTCTTGATTAGTGTTACGTTTAAATTATTTGGTAACATAATAATAAAAAATTCCTAAGCGCTAAAAAATCTTTCCCGCCAAAAATCTATTTGTCAAAGACCATAAACTACAGTTGCTATTAATATATCTATTTAATAATAACTGCAGTACATCGTGTTGTGCAGAAAACATGATATTACAATTTTGT